ACACACACACACACACACACACACACACACACACACACACACACACACACACACACACACACACACACACACACACACACACACACACACACACACACACACACACACACACACACACACACACACACACACCCATACACTCACCTCATCTTGAGTTTGTGGCTTGCTGGATACGGCATTGACTGCTTTAGTCACAGCTTGCCACGTCTTTTTATTGGCCACTACAGCTGCCAGTTGCCCGCAAACTTTCCAAACGGTGCTCATTCTCTGTCCCACTTCATAAATTATGAAGTCAATTTCCGGAAATATTCCTATTCTTCTGCCTCTTTTACAGTTGCCGTGTATATTTTAAATAACTTTGCTCTCACCACAATCTTTGAGAATGGTGCTATAGGAGATGGGTGCATGGCTATTAGGAGATGGGTGCATGGCTATTAGGGCTCATAGGTTCTATGTCCCGCAGGGTACTGCCGGAACGTACCCTGGGTACGGTTCGGTATACCGGAACGTACCCTGGTAACTATTTGATATGGTTAGGGTTGGGGTTAGGGTTAGGGAGTAGGCGTAGGCGACTCCCTAGACTCATTAGTGGAGTAGGCGAGGTACGGTCCGGCATATAATATAGTACCAGGGTACGTTCCGGCAGTACCCTGGGGGGACATAGGCCCTCTCAGCGCTATTAGGAGATGGTGGCTAGTTCATAAATGCTTGCTTCACGAACTGCAGCAGAGCAACGATATAATAATGTTCATACTTGGACTAGGTGTGTTGTTGTACGTGCTGCTTTGGGATTTTGAAAAGCCAACATTGATTACCAATCCGATATTTAGATGACATTCTGCCTGATGTGCTAGATGGTGTACAGAATATTGGGAGACAGGAATTTAAGCTATGCAAATGATAAAGCACATCATGTAGAGGTGTTTTACGTAAACCACGTTTGGTCATAACGTAGGGAAGCTTTTGTTTAGCTCCACCCTGTATAAAATGTATATAGTTTTTCCAAACGTTAGAAACAATATGACATGGTTAAACCTGAGTGGTGCGACGAGGCTGTACTGCTGTTTGCATGACTAGTAAGAAATACGACGTGGTTTGCAGCTACAGTGACTTATGTGTGTTAACTTGAGACAATTATTGTTTTACTGTATGTATTCTTCTTAATATTATGTTAAAACAGTATACTGATCGTTTGTTAACTACCAGTACGTGATACTGTATTGTTTACATCCAAACGTGAAATGGGCAGGGATTATGTGCGAATTACTCCACAACCTAGCGCACGTGAACAGTGAGCGTGCCCCACGACCTGTGCACCTAAATAAATCTTGGCCAACACAATGTAAGGTTCACTGCCACTGGGCACTGGGCACTGGCGAAAAGTAAGCGCACCCAGTTCTTATCGATTTTTGGTATGCCAACGCTGCTTTAGTCTGGATTCAGGAACCTGTGCGTACGAACACCCCACGCACGTTTCTTGAATGCCAACTAAAGTTGTGAGTGAGGTGTTCTAAATTTTCTGCGTACGCACTTGTGCGTGCGCATTTCTTCTTGAATCCGGCACTGAGATCACTAGTGCATGCTGCTAGTTGCATGCATGCTGGGGTGGATTTTCTACGGGGCCGTCGGGCCTGCTAGTATTAGAAATGTCAGGCCCGTTAGGATTTCGAACCCTGGATTAGGTGTAGCATCATTTTTGATATACGATGAGCCTTTGCAACTGTTTGCTGTTTGTTTTTAAGGTGATTAGCTTACCATCACGCGTGGTAAAACTGAATTGTTGTGTATTTGCAGCCTCAAGCTTCTTGGAGCCAGTGGCGTTGGGCCACCCCGCAGGTAATTCTCGTAGGATTTTGATTGGCTGTTGTGTTTTTGTTGTTTTTTATATTGTGTTTTTTCTTCGTGCTTTACTGCGGCTTTTGGTCGTCGTTAGTTTGGCAAGCCCGTACTGAAGTACTCTGCTGAAGTATTTTCGGAACGATTATGAAACGATGTGTTTGGCGCATTGTTCATTGTCAGGGTGGCAGCTATGTGGCCTTCCCCAACTACATGCCTCCCGAGGCAGCCATGATGTACGTGAATAGTGCAGCTCAGCATCAGCAGCAGCAGCAGCAGCTCTACGCAATGGAGGCATCAGCTGAGCAAGCGTCTGTGATGGAGCCGGGCCCGCCTGAGGTAACATCGCGTCATTTTGGCACGCCTTTCCTCGTTTGCCGCGTCACTGGGCTCTAACATTGTGCGGTTGCAGTTACACTGTCGTATGGTTTGGTGGGGTCCGGGTAGGTAGGCAAGAAAACGGGTTGCTCGTAAACTGTAAAGCAAAAATTTATTATTATCATCAATTATTTTTGATTGCGAGTAAATTTGTAAAACATTGCATACAACATGTTAGAAAAAGTGAGGGAATAAAAGAAACTTCGCAGTAAAGTTTTTATCGGGCTGGTCAGGTTACAGGAAGCGGAGTCTTTTTAGATCAGCACAGTTCACCTTCAAGGGTATTCAGTGTATTTGTGTTGGTGCATGAATATCATACTCAAGAAGTGAACGTTGCATGTTATTCATGGCATGTATAAGAAAGAAATGAATATTGTTTTAGAAGTTATAATTGCATAAGTGGAAGTGATTGACTAGGATGATTTGTATAGATTGTAGCATGGAATAGGTTTTGATGGAGAGGAAAGAGTTACGTGCAATCTTGTAGTGTAATTAATTATTATTATTAAAACTTAAGACTACTGGAAACTATGCACACAGATGTAAAACTATCTCTGATATTTCACCTATATCACCGCAAGTCGCCACATTGAAATTTAATTCATCACCGTAGGTTATAGTGAGCTACTATACTAAGCATTGTGTTGTCTTCTAGAATGCAAAATTCGTTTTTTGGGTAGGTCCGGCAGATTTTAGTTGCGTGCCAAATCCATTGTCTGACACTATTGACATATAACTGGGCCAATTTACTAACAACAACAATGGCAACAAATGGGTAACTCTAGCTCAAAATGGCTCGCTGCTTGGACCAATGTTTGGTCGAGAAAAAGGATATTTCACATTACCTGACGTCACAGCTTTGCCAGTTAATGAAGTTGGTTTACATTTGTGTGCATGTGTTAGAAGCGCTCTTGAATATGGAATCACACATACGTGCACTACATCTTGTCAGTGGTGTGACTTGACATCTGTCACTAGCAGTTTGTATAGTTTTTCGTATCTCTTCTTTAAGAGGTCACCCAAGGCCAGCAGTGGTAGTCTCTTTGTGAAGATAAGATTGTTGGCGAGCAAATTAATTAGGAATGGAATTGTTCCAGGGCAGTATGGCGCCTTCCAGTATTAGCCCCAAGTTTGAGATGGCTGGGCTGCAACCTGGAAATGGCCAAGGATCCCTGCTCAGGAAGCCGATGCCGCCGTCGCTTATGGGACCAGCTCAGCATCAGCATCGTTTGTCCCAGTCTCTACAGTCGCACGTTCACCGCCCGATGCCCTATAGTCCGACCGCGCCGCCGCCGACCGTGTACGCGTACAGCGCCGACCCTCAGACGTTCGCCTGGATACCCGTTAGCGAGCGGACGGGCAAGCCTCGTCTCGTCGCCAAGACCGTGAACGGCGTCAAAGTTCTCGTTGAGGAGTTGAACACCAGTGGGCAGCACTCGTCGCCGCCGCCGACGCACGCGGGCAACGGCATGGCGTGAGAGCGTTGATGCTGTGTGGTGTGAAGGGTCTTCCTCTCTCTCTCCCTCCGAGCCGGAGTGCGCGTCGCACCCCCGGACCCCTGAGAAGTCCCACGTCATTGGCATTCCATGTAAGAATGAATATTTTGATACGCGTATTTTTATGTCGACCTTTTTTTGATAGCGTGTTGATGAGAGAGCGTAGTTTGATGATACCCGTGTCACTGCGGCTGTGATGGCTGGGCATTGGCTTCCTGCAGTCTTTAAGTCTAGCCGATAAACGTTAGCTGTGTGTGTGTGTGTGTGTGCATGCGCGCGCGTGTGTGTGTGTGTGCGTGCGCGCGTGTGTGTGTGTGTGCGCGCGTGTGCGTGCGTGCGTGTGTGTATGTATGTGCGTGCGTGCGTTTGCAGATGTTGCCGGCACGCACTTATGTGTGCTGCACTGCGATCGTGCGTGCATGGGTGGACGTTTTTCGGAGCAGATATTAATAATGGCCGAGGGTTTTGAATATGTGTGGTTTTTTTTGGCAGTGCATGTGTACAGTATGTTGTCGTGTTTTCTTGTCATTCAGGTGCACTTGCTGTGATCAGTAGTATGTTGATTTTTTGTACATTTGGGGATTTTGTACGGAACTGCTTTGTGTACTCATGTTTATCTCACTGTCGTTGATGTATTACTACATTTGTATTTAAAGACAGAGAATCTCGTTACCATTGCTTGTTGTCGTGTTGTAATATTTTCTGGTGCAACTCTGCTATAACAACACTGCATCACCATTGGTGACATTTTTTGATGAAGATTTTTTTGTAGGTGAGCCTTTTTACCCCACGATATATATCAATGTTGAATATGTGCTTGAATTTAACGTTGTTTTGATTGCTATCACCTAGGCTATACGAGCAAATGACGTGCTGTCCAGTTTTTGTGTAGGCTATACCAAGCACTGTTGGAAATCCACTTCATACCACCTAAATTCATCTATGAGAACTTTGATCAGAAATCAGTGTCATGTCATTCATGAAAATTTTTGTGGTAATTTCTCATTATTGTCAAAGTTGTATGTACTTTTTAATATATAAATGGTAAAATGATAACTATATACATATTAACTAAGTATACTGGTACTTTATTAACGTTTTCTCGTCCGTTTTAGCCTGTCCCTTGACGCGTGCGTTTGTTGGCGTAGAGGCTAGGCTGCCTGTTTGCCCGAAACTCTGAGCTTCTAAGCAGTGGCCCTACAGCACGCCTACTGCTATTTTAGTGGTTTGTACACGTCTACAGTATTGTAACGCCGTTTTAAAAGCACTGTGCGAGGAGAATATCTGTTTACGTTGGATAGCGTTTGCCGGTGTTGTTGCTATTGTTGTTTTTGTTGTTGGCCCTGATGGTCGGCTCACTGTACACACAAGTGAGTGTGTGTGTTTGTGTTGTGCGTGCTGGGAGATTTGTTGTCAGTGTGCATGCATTTATGGTGCTGTTACCTATATGGCGGAGATATGTTAGCTACGCAGTTGCTTTATGTGGTGGTAATGGTTGTGTATATCTAAATTCTCGTTACGTGGCTCTACAAGCCTCGAGTCTGCAAGCAGCAAGGCATGGCACGGCGAATGTAGTTTCCCATTGCCGCATATGTTCTGTTGGAAGTGTCCGATATCCTTTATGGGAGGGACCTGTTAAAAAAATTTACACTGGAGGCCGGGTGCAAATTACAATCTTGTTTTGGAATCAACACAGTGAGCCGACCACTGGGCCAGCGTGTGCAGAGCACAATATTCGTGTGTAGTTCAGGAGTAGTGTAGTTATAGCGATAGTTAAGTTAATTAGTGAGAGGCTGTGCGAGTGCATTGTGTCTCTCGTGCGCGGGGTAGAGAGTAAGTAGAGAGAGTAACGTCTCTGCATGCATCTGTGATGCAGGTATCGATGACAGAACTGTGACGTATACAGTTTCCCCCGCGCGTGTGCGTGCGTGTCTTGCACTCGTCATGGTGTGGTTTTTGTGTGTGTGATTGCATCCCAGTGAACGAAGATATTGGCAGTTGTTTTGGTGTCACCGTGTGTGCCTTATCTCCCATCTTGAAGTCATGTCGCGCGTTGTATATTGTAATGTATTGATGCAGGTGGGTAGTAAAGTTAATTCGTGCACCTGCCAGGCAGGACCCGTTTTTGGAGATTTTTTCCCCCCAACACTCCACTCCCATCATCTAGTAACGCGTTTTCAAGATGGGGATGTGTTCGCGGTATTGTTATCTGGATGTGTTGTGGAACTGTGTATGCAGCTTCAGTGTGTAATAATAAGTCGATGAACACGCAAGGAACCGTGTGTGTGCGTGCGTGCGCATGTGTGTGCACGTTAAGTACTGCTCAGGTTTGATGCTTCGTATCCGTCCTGTAGCTGTAGTAGTTAAGAGCCTCTTTATTCTATAATATAATATTTAAGTTCGATAGGGAAATCTCCCCTAAAAGTAAGTACTATGTAATCAGAGCGATCTGTGCTAGTGCCAAAGATGGTTATGCGGTTGTCGTTGTCGTCGTCGTCAGCGTCGTTGTTGTAGTCGTTATGTCGTGTAAACTGCTGGAATTGTGGGGCCACGTTTGTGACATCGGTGGTGTGGCGTGGTATTGAGTGGTGTAAATGCGTCCTAAAATTACCTAGCTTGAGAAAGCTTTAAAGCAGTTTAATGCCGTATGTGTCTAAAGTTTTGTATATATAACGTATTTAAAAAAAAAACAAAAAAACGTAATGAATATTGTATGCAAGAGATTTTAGAACGTCACCACACTCGTCGCTTTGGTCCTTTTTCCCATTTTAAATCAAAAACCGCGCTCGCGCGCGATGTAAAGGTGACTTTTAATGTGGCGACGTAGTTAAATCTCGCTTGAATGATCTTGATTTTATATCGCCTTGAGCATGTTAATGTGAAGTGATATGACCTGTATTCATGTGTTTATTGGGGTTGGATATCGCCGGCCAATGCCGCGGTGGTGCTGTACCACGTATATAACTGTGAACGCGTGCGTACCCCCCACTAAACTCGGACGAAACACGGCGTGTGTATAGCAGAGCATGGCTGGCATGTGGTTGTTTTGCCAAAGAAAATATTGATACGAAGTGTAACCCCAGGTGTCAGTTAGATAGATCGTGTATGATCGATGCGTTATACGAAATAAAGTGAAGCCATCTAAATGGGAAATCCTCTTCGAAGTGTTTATTATTCGAGGTATACACATTATTAGTCGATTACACGGACTCCACCGCTCTGCTGCCACGGCCCCTGTTGTGTCATCGCATTTGCTCTATAAGGTTCTCGATAAACGAAGGCCTCTCTTCGTGCGTTTGTTTCGTACGTGGCAGTTGAGATGTGGCGTTTATTAAGTAGTTGTAGACGGGGGGCACGCGCATGCTTCTCTCGCGCAACGGTTCTTTCTGTAGAAAATGTGGAACCCTTAGCTGTTGATGCGGTCTGACCTCAGCTCGCGTAGATTGCTCAGGGAGGCTTCTCTTTGTTCCGCTGCACGAACACAGTTCCATAAGAAGCCAAATCGTGTCCAAAATATCCTCTCTCTTCGTACCCTCTGCCATGAGTTCTCTATCAGCATCATCAGCGTTACTAGCGTTATCAGCATCATCAGTCAACATTAGTTTCTCGCTCAGCTCGTACTTTGCTATCCCATCTAGCTCTCGATCAGTCCCTCTAACGATAGGCGACTCCTGCTCGAAACGCTCCTCGCAGAAACACGACATTTCTTGATCTCTGGCGACTTTCCCGCCGTCTGCCATCCCAGAGTCTTGACTGTCCGATGTCTGGCTAGCTTGACCGGTGTCGGCGCTGGCTAGCCACCGCATGGCAGCTGCTGACGTGAGCAGCAGGTGGCTTCGCAGCAGATGATCGACGAGCAGCGTGAAGCGACGGTGGCTCCGCTGCAGGCGCAGCCGGACGTCGGCAGCTTGGGTTCTCAGCGTCGCCAGAGCCATGTGCTCTCCTAGAACGTCCATCTTTAGTTGGATGCGCCTGTAATGTCAGTGTTATTGCACACATACATACAGTGTCATAGTAATGATGTCACCACCACTACCACTATTACACTCCAGTACCACTACCACACAACAGACCACACTTCACTATTACACTACACCTACCCCTATCACTACTCCTACCACTATCACTACCTCACACGAGGGGCGTAGCTAGGGTGAAATGGATGTGTACGCACACAGGCTGGGGGTCCTCTCCCAGAAAATTTTGAAAATGTAGATCGCAGGAGATGGTATTTGAGGCACTTTTGAGTAAATGTTTAGCCTTTATTCTGACTACGACTATTATCTTTTTAGTAGAACTGCCAAAAAAACGGGTGATACTCCATTAGGAGTGTTCCCAACTTTAATGTCATTAATGGTCATAATAACATATATTATTATATATATATATATATATATATATATATATATATATATATATATATATGGTTATAATAACATATATATATGGTCATATATTAGTTTGTGGTTTAATGTCATTTAGGTTAGGGTTAGGGTTAGGATTATCAATCATTAATCATTAATCATTAATGATATCAAAGTTGGGAACACTCCTAATGGAGCGTTAGCCAAAAAAAACGGAAAAAATCCAAACGTATACATATAGCTCAACCATATGCAGATAAGTTCTAATATAGAGCTGACCCAGATCAATGAAGCCACATAAAAATGCATTTGCAATTAATGGCTACGCAACAAAGCAATTTAGGACGTGAGAAGAAAGTACACCTTGTTCAAAACCCGGGCAAAAACAATAGGACACTGCTGAAAAAAATCATTTCCTTTTAGTATTTGAGTTATTCACCGAGAATCATTATTGCTCACGACATCCATGTCTGAATTTGTTACGTTTTTGCTACCAAAGTTTTCCCATTAATTGACGACCAAACGAGAATACGCACCAAAAATTCGGGGATAAAAATCTGCCCCATGCATAAGAGACTAATGTATGCAGCTCGAAATAGACTAGGATAAGCTTGGGTTTTACAATGAAAAACTGCCTAACAAACAGCTGGCGATGGTTGCTACTGCTCTCGCGCGAATTCTGCTCATGAGCAGTCTGACATTCGGAGATTTTCCGCCCGTCATCGTAATAATTGTTTCCAGCAAAATTTAAACACAACTGAGTTCGCTGCTCCCTCCCTGATGAATAATGTTCACCCCAGTGCTATCCCCTGCACTCACAACGTAAGTTAATAGCTCTTGATAAGGTTGTAAAAAATTTACAAGGTTAATAAAGGTTATAGACGTTAATTAGTGATTGCTATCCAGGGGCCTGTTGACAGAAACAAGACTCGTCTTAACATTAACATTAGACGGAAGTGCTATATATTAGCATTAACATTAGTATTAACTTTACGATGATTCCGACAACGGCCCCCTGTTCTCAGACCGGTTTCCCAAGGAAATGAAATCTCCGAATGTTTTTCTCCGCGACGGGGAACAGCGCCTTCATCAACGAACGAACTGGCACGTGCGCCACGCTCACAGTGTCTCTGGAGAATGTCTGGATGGCGAGGCGGCCCAGCGCCGAAAATCGCTTCTTGTCTTAATCGCTGCATCGAGTTTTCGGTTACCCGTCTGTCCCCCCACCCCCGCGCTCCGCGATCGCGTTCGTGATTGCGAAACTTAACAAATATATACCTCAAGCGTTCTAGCAGGCTGTTGCGGCAGCGTGCGGCGGCGGTAACCCGATCGCTGGTAGTGCTCAGGTCCAACCATGTGCTGTCGAGACTTAGCAGCTCTCTAATGAACGTTAGAATGCAGGCAGCACGTATTTGTTTCGTTTGAGAAATGCACCATGAGCTCACACGCGCGCGCACGCACGCACGCACGCACGCACACTCACACACACACACACACACACACACACACACACACACACATATATATATATATACGCACACACACACACACACACACACACACACACACATATATATATATATAACATCAAGAGCACATAATAGAGATTCTCTATTATGTGCTCTTGATGTATTATGTATGTATATGTATGTATGTATGTATGTGTGTGTGTGTGTGTGTGTGTGTGCGTGCGTGCGTGCGTGCATGTATGTAGAGAGAGAGAGAGGGAGAGAGGGTGCAGGGAGGCGCTGAGGAGAAGGAGAAAAAAATACAGTGGGTCAGGCAGAAAAGCAAGCAAGCAAACAGGAAGGCAAACCGACAAAAAACAGTAAAAAAAAGGCATATGAATGGCGAGATCGATGGATGGATGGATAGACAGGTAAATAAACACACGCACGCACGCACACACACACGCACTCGCACATACACACGCACACGCACACACATATACACACACGCACACATATCAGGGGTAAATCATGTCATTATTTGTCATTATTCACCCTTGGTATATATATACAGGAGTGAATAATAGAAATAATCTCTATTATTTACTCCTGATATATATATATAACATCAAGAGCACATAATAGAGATTCTCTATTATGTGCTCTTGATGTATTATGTATGTATATGTATGTATGTATGTATGTGTGTGTGTGTGTGTGTGTGTGTGTGCGTGCGTGCGTGCGTC